AAAAATCATGCCTGAGTGACAATTACATGGGGTGGGGGGAGTATGGAAAGATAATAAACAAGAAATATTAGAATTCTTGTATTTTTGTGTTAGAGTTCTTGTATTTTTGTGTTAGAGTTTTTGTATTTTTAATATACATCTTGAAATGTAGCCTGGCATCCCTTAAAGTGGAGCTGTGTTTTGAGGAATGCATTGCTCGACAGTGTTTTCATTGTGCAAAGTTCTGTGTAATCACATAGATCTGAGTGGGAGAAATGACTTCATAGCAAGGTCATACGGGATAGCCTCTGGGTCCATGTCAAAAATATTACTATGTGCCACAGGCCCTAACAAGCAGGGTGATCCCTGCCAGAGAGGACAATAAATAGGGAAGGGTGACAGAGTCAGGGGAGCTTAGAAACATTCTAAAGAGGACGACCAGGGATACCTCGATGAGAATGACAGTGCTGTAGATGATGCTGACCATGCAGATATACAGGGAAGGAAGAACGAGGACAAAGGACCTTTAAATTTTTGGACTCCTTTTCTCTTTTGAGCTGAATCAGAAGCAAGTTGAAATTTGAAATAATGTTTTCTGTGTTTTAAAAAAAAATTTAGTTTTGATGAGGGTCCAGAGAGAGAGAGAGAATACAGAGGTCTTGCCTTGCACATGGCTGACCCATGTTGGATCTCCAGCACCTTGCATAGTTCCCCAAGCCCCACCAGGAGTGATCCCTGAACCAGAAGTAGTCTCTGAGTACCATTGTGTGTAGCCACAAACCAAAACCAAATACTTTTTATGACCTTTTATCCAAGACCGCTTTGTACTTTGAATTGTATATCTCTCAGAAGTATTACTTTTTATTTTTATTTTTTTATTTTATATATATATATATCATAAATCACAAATCATCCTGTTATTCATCGATCGCCTCGAGCAGGCCCCAGTAACGTCTCTTTCATCCTAGCCCTGAGATTATATTCAAGGCTCTTTAGGAGAATGAGACCCATCATTGTTACTGGTATTTGGCATATGGGGTACGCCACAGGGAGTTTGCCAGACTCTGCCGTGTGGGCAGGCTATATTCGGTAGCCTGCCAGTTTGTCCAAAGTAGGAATAAGACGTCATAATAAGATGTCGCGCGGTTCCGGGAGCTGGTTTTTATAGTCTCTGGGTCTTGGCCGTTGATGGGATTACACGGTGCCAGGGGGCCAGTTGGTGGGTGTGACCCCTGCCTACTGGAGTTTGGAGGATCTGGGTGGAGGATGCCCGGCCCCAATCCGAGTAGGCTTGGAGATCTCGGCCCCGGAACCCGCGTGACTTTGTCCCTCTGCCAGTACCTTCATGTGTGCGGAGAGTGGTCTCAGCATGGTGGTGGCTGGTCCTGGAGGTCTTTGGCTGCCGTGTAATCCCATCAACGACCAAGACCCAGAGACTATAAAAACCAGCTCCCGGAAGAGACCAGTGCAGTCTCCTGCCCCCGCGCCTGGCTGCCCTCGCCGGAGCTCCTTGGAGGGGAGCGGGTTGAGCTTTCCTCCCCGCCCCGACCAAGGCTCTGGCAGCCAAAGACCTCCAGGAGCCAAAGATCTCCAGGATATATATATATATATTTTGGGTCACACCTGGCAATGCACAGGGGTTACTCCTGGCTCTGCACTCAGGAATTACTTCTGACGGTGCTTGGGGGACCATATGGGATGCTGGGGATCGAACCCGGGTAAGCTGCATGCAAGGCAAATGCCCTACTCGCTGGACTATTGCTCCAGCCCCAAAGTATTACTTTTTAATTTAAAAAAATGTTATGTGAGCTTATGCCTTTAAAAGAGATAAACAGGGGGTATGGTGCCGCCAGCAGGTCAATCTGTACCTGTGAGGCGAGTGCATCAGCAGCCTTATGGCACCTTCAGACTTCCAGATACCCCCAAGTTGCTGCTGGGGTCTGCCTTTGGCCAGACCCCAAAAACTTGGGGCAAAATTTACCAAGAAAGTAAATTGCCAAAAGTTAGGTATGTGGGAGACACACCCACAAGCCACCTTGGGCTCAGCTGTATAATTGGAGGCATGGCCTCTCTTGTTCTTTATTGAACTGCTTAATGGCCATGATCCCAGAGACTCAAACAAATCTCAAAACCCAATAGCTTTTGGCAGAAATGCGTCTAGTCCCCGCAGTATCGGCACTGGGCCAACCCAGGTTTTGTGCCTTGGTCTATTCCCCCTGGCGGCCCGGTGGCCGCCATCCTCCAGAGGCCACTGGATGGGGGTGGAGCTGGCACTTTCCTCCCCACCCCAATGAGACCTTGAGTTGTAGCCCACGAACGGCCTCTCTGGCTCCTGATCAAGCTGATTAATGGCCATGATCCCAGAGACTCAGAAACAAATCTCGAAACCCAGCGGCTTTTGGCAGAAATGCATTCAGACCCCACAGTAGGTTAGTGTCGCCGGGCCACCCCAGTGGGGAAAGGATGCTGTCCCTCCACCTGCTCCCCCTTGGTGGCTCAGTGGCCACTATCCACCAGAGGCTATTGAACAATCAGGTTTGGGCCCTCAGTGATGAGACACGCGGGGCCTCATGGGATGGGGGTGGAGCCGACCCTTTCCTCCCCACCCCACGAGACCCCAAGTCGCCGCCCATGAACGGCCTCTCTGGCTCCTGATCAAGCTGCTTAACGGCCATGATCCCAGAGACTCAAGAACAAATCTCGGAATCCAGCAGGTTTGGGCAGAAATCCCTCCAGATTTAATTGTTAAAATTTTGGAATTTCAAAATCACGTGGCCACTACTGCAACCACAGGACATCATATGTTATTCTTAACCAGGAATGGGAGACAAACTGTCTACTGTTGCCTTTTCAGCAGATCTGAGTGTTGGGGTAAAAGCCCAAATAATATGGTGTGTCTGGTGTCAAAATATTGAATCTGATCAAAGTAGAGAGTAATGTGGAAATCATCTGTCCCACAGGTAGGGGGAGGGTATAGGATGGGGGTATACTGGGGTATTTGGTGGTGGAGAATGGGCACTGGTGAAGTATGGGTGTTTCATGGTATGACCGAGACTTAAACCCGAAAGCTTTGTAACTGCTCTCACAGTGATTCAAAAAATAAAATTATAAAAAATGAAAAAAAAAAACTGCTCTCACGGTGATTCAAAAAATAAAATTATAAAAAATGAAAAAAAAAGAGATACACAGAAGAGAGGTAGATACTTAGTAGGACTCAGTAATTATTTATTGTCTTGAAATTCTGAAAGTGATACATTCAAAATTGATCATCTCATTCTTTTCATAAGGTTAAAAAAACCTAACTTTTCTTAAAGTCCATTCATGGTACAATGCATTTTGATGATTAGAACATACCACTTATTCCTTTTTTTTTTTTTTTTGGTTTTGGGCAACACCTGTCTGACTCAGTGCTTATTCCTGGATCTGGGCTGAGGGATCACTCCTGGTGGACCTCAGGGTACCATGTGGGGTACCAGGGTCTAATCTGGGTTGATCAAGTAAGGCAAGAGCCTTACTTGCTGTATTATTGCTCCAGCCCAACTTCTTTTCAGATCAGGTTATGTTTTGGTTTGGTTTTAGTTTGGCGGCTACCCCCAGCAGTGCTTTAGGGGATTACTCCTCTCTTTGCACTCAGAAATCACTACTGGTGTGCTCAGGGCACTATATGGGATACTCAGGATCAAACCAGCCACAGGCAAAACAGGTGCCTTATCCACTGTCATATCTTTCCGTCTCCTTAAATCAGTTTTAACTATAAAATTCTCCTCATAGAATGGCCTTCAGATTTCAAGTTGTGTGTGATAACCACACTGGTTATTTTTATTAAGTGAAGTCTCCTGAGCTAGGAGAGTAGACTTTCTTAGTGTGTTGAGGGAAGCCAGGGAGAATGCTGTCCAGGTGGTCCTGAAGTGGAGGAATGAAAATGAGTTGATTTAATAAGAATTGACCGGAAGGCTTCCTCTCCTCAGTTGGTCTACTCATTGCCTCTTTTTTTTTCTCCCATTCAGTGGTGGGTCTGCAGAAAACACTTGTTCCTGGCCAGATGGAGAGCATGTGGCATGGCACCACCAATTGCATAACTGCAGAAAAGCTGTCATAAAGAAAGGGAAATAAGGACTAACATTTTAAAATAAGAAATACTCATGTGTGTCAGGGGAAAGTCCCCCTGTGCATTTATACAAGGTTTTATCCATTCAGGTGGTGAGAAATCTTTTCTGCAGAGTCACGAGGCAAAGTATTCCCACAACCTAGAGACAGGGGGGAGGACAGGCTGAGTCTGGGAGGGAGGCTGGACAGAGATGAGAAGCTGGACTTGGCTGTGATGTGAGTAACCAGACAAAGGTTATTCACAGCAGATGGTACATATGATACCAAGTTAGGGTCAGACAAGTGCTCAAGAACATTCATTTATCACAAGTACAGAGCAAACCACAGTCTCGCTCAAGAAGCAGTGAAGATACAGTTGATAGAAAACTGCCGGCTCCACTTCCTCCAAGGGATCTTATTTAAAAGTGCAGCTTGGCCTATTGCTATTAGAGGGGGTCCAGGACTCCAGGGCAAGTAAATCCACATATTCCAAAGCATATCCCAGAATAATAGTTGATATACAAAGAGACTTTAGTACACGGTAACCCGCCGTCAGTGTTTGTGGTTGAAATCTACAGAGATCCCCAAATAGGAAACTAGAACCCCATCACCAGTGGACACCATCTCTGTTATTTGGAGGAGGGACTGTGCAGGGCCAACTATTCCATATTTTCACAAAAAGCCTTGTTCTAGAGCCTTCTGTCTGTAGGCAAAGCTCCACCCCCAACACCACCCGCTGCCTCTCACTCCTCTGTAGTCTCCTGGTCCCCCTCCTCTTCCTTTCCCCTTGACTCTTGGCATCTTGGGGCATCATCACCTCCAGTTTAATGATATGGGAGGTAATATTCTTTCTCACTCTACTATTTTGCTTAGAAATCCATGGTTGCCTGGACAGAGGCTAAGTGCTCTGTGGGCTGACAGCTACTTGTGCAGCCATGCTCATTCATGACTCCAGCACAGGGCTGATGGCCAGGGCTACCTTAACTGCAGGCACAGTGCTGGAGGAAATTAAGTTCTCCAAACAACCTATAATCGGTAAGTGGGAAATGTCACTATGACCTTTTTCTCAGTGCCTTATTTCAACTTTTCAACAACGTTTTCCTTTGTGTTTTTTTAGACTTTAAAAGTTGGGGACCTTTAAAGAGATATTACAGCACACAGGGTCTTTGCCTCACACACAGTTACCAGTATTCAATCCTCACTACCCCATAGGGTCCCTGAGCCCCAAAGCCCTCCAGGAGTAATTTCAGAGCACAGAGCCAGGAGTAAGCCCCGAGCACCACTAGGTGTGGTCCCAAAACAAACAAAAAATTAGGTAATTGTTAACACAGAGCAAATTTTTTCAAAAGTTTAAAGAATGAAAACTCTGCTTCTCATTCCTTTATCCCAACTTCATTGCGTCCTCAAAGGCAATTAATATAACATGCTTGGTGTATCACCCCCATATATGTATCAGCTCCCCAAGAGCAGTCCACATTGCTATCATTTCTCTCTCCTTCTCATGGGACTGTTAGTGTTGCCCCTCTGGAGCCTGACCTTGTTGGTAAATTCTTATACCACATACTGGTTTGGCTTCCTTTTTTGAATCACCTTCCAGAGAAAAAATATCTTCATGGGGCCTAAGGCAAAGCATAGGGGTTAAAGTGCTTGTCTTGGGGCTGGAACAATAGCACAGTGGGTAGGGTGTTTGCCTTGCATGTGGCCAACCCGGGTTCGATTCCCAGCATCCCATATGGTCCCCTGAGCACTGCCAGGAGTAATTCCTGAGTGAAGAGCCAGGAGTAACCCCTGTGCATTGCTGGGTGTGACCCAAAAGGCAAAAAAAAAGTGCTTATCTTACACGTGGGTGACCTAGTTCTATCCACAGTACCACATATGGTCTTCTGAGCACTGCCAATAGTGATCTGTGAGCACAGAGCCAGGAAGAAGTCCCAAACATGGTGAGGTTTGGCCCCAGAACTAAAAACAACTGCTGCATAAACCTCATAGCTGGAGGCCAGGCTTACAGCGTGAGGTGCTGGGGTTGTGTGGAAAGGCCAGTATCACACCACTGTCAAGTTGAGCCACCTCTTGAATGAGGTCCCTGAGGCCATAAAAAGGGTGGGTGGGTGGGGAACCTCATGAAATTATTTATCTTCTGAGGCACTGGCTTGTTTTCTCTTGTTGCAGAAACTAGAATGAACCGAAGCATTCCCGTGGAGGTTGATGAATCAGAGCCATACCCGAGTGAATTATTGAAACCCATCCCAGAATATTCCCTAGGAAAGGAACCAGTACTACCTGCTCCAGATCAAAGGAACATGGCCCCCTACAGCAGGGCCACCCCCCAAACCTCTCCCTCTTCCTCAGGAGACTTTTCTCAGGCTCACCCACCTCTGAAACTTTCCGAGCACCAGCGGCCCATGTCCCAGCGGATGGCCCAGCTGCGCACGAGAGTCCTGGAGGAAAGTGAAGACAGCTTCTGGAGGAGGCACCCAGATCCTGGCAAAGATTTTCCTTCAGGATCCTCTGCAGCTAGTGAGCCTGACACCGTGTCTGTGATCAGAGGTCACCCCGCAGAGCATCAGTTTTCATTTACGGATAAGCATCATCCATGGCTAGAATCTCAGCTTCCGGCAGCTTCTCCTGACACTGGCCATGACTCAGACAATTCAGACCAGAGCTTACCTCAGACCTCAGCAGAGTCCTGGGGGAATAGCCAAGTGACCATGCAGCGACCCCAACTGCACAGGAACCGAGTGGCCCCAGATCTGCCGACGATAGACACGGGGTATGATTCACAGCCCCAAGATATCCTGGGTATCAGGCAGCTGGAAAGGCCCCTGCCCCTCACTTCAGTGTGTTACCCTGCAGACCTTCCCAGACCACTGAGGTCCAGGGAGTTCCATCTGTTTGAAGCGCCGAGATATCCTGCACAGATGCTGCCTCCCAACCCTTCCCCGCATGCTCAGTGGAACAATCATTACCGCTGCCCTGGAGAACCCGATCACCAGGTGCCATGTAAGTGAACTTTCCTGACTCAAGACATTCTGGGTAGGGAAGTGTGTTCCCACAAGGGTCTCATGGTGTTGCCTCCTGTTCCTCCATCAGCACAGATGGGTCAGAATGTGGGGAGGGAGCTGGGGAGATAATGACTCAAAGGGCTGAGCACATGTGTTGCATGCAGGTGACCTGGGTTCTGTCCCTGGTATTCTACATAGTCCCCTGGACACTGCTGGGTATAGCCCCTGAGCAAACAAGCTGTTTGTAGGACATGCTCTCTTTCCCATAGAGGCTTTCTGGGTATTCTCAGATTTGCAAGGAGCTTTGGAAGAATGCCTGATATTAGCCCCAAAGCCTGACCCACTGAAACATGTTTCTCAAGGAACCTTGAGGGATCAAACAGAATCTTGTCTCCATTGCTGTTTCCCAAAGTGAGTGATATGCTGGCACTTGCTGGAACAATTGGTGGGGGTGGGAGATGGGAGTGAATTCGTAGCCTCCATGGAGTGGAGGGTGCTAGAGACTCAAGGGCTACTGAGTAATTAATTTCTGAAAAGAGGGAAGTAGAGCAAATAAGGTTTGGGAACCACTGGTAGGTTTGTTGAACCGGAACCTGTCCCAGAGGCAGGAAACTAGCCCATGTGTCTCTGCAGCCTGACTTCTTGCACTGTAGATTTTCACCCCATGCAAGGCTGTGTCACTGACTGTGGAAGCAGTGGTAAAGGGCTTCTGTACATACAATGACCAGAAAGTCGTTCAAAATCAATCATGGAATGAATCCAGAGTGTTTCTGGCTTTGCTGGCTCACATGGCATTTCTCAGGAGAAAATGGGCTGCAGGTGGAAAAAATGTAAAAGAAGCCCTGTTCCAGAAAACCTGTTTGTTTTTCCTAATTCTTGAATATCTAGATCCTTCTTCTCTGCACACATCTGTGCTTCATTTTTTTCAGAGAAAAGCACCTTTATTCAAAAGTGACAGAAAGTGCTGGAATGCCACTGAGGCTCGGGGTTCATGCCATGACAAGAAGCTGGAGAGACTTCCGTGGTTCTGTTGCTTAAGCCCCTTCCAAGTCTTGAACCACCCACACATGCCATCTACACGCCAGCCAGGCCCAGAGATTGGCCATCATCTCTCTGGCCCGGCTATCTCACATCTGGGTGCATCTACCCAGGCCCTTTTCTCTCTAAGATGTTCTTTCCCTGTTTGTGAATTTTCCCCAGGTCTTGTTCTCTCTCTTTTTATAATAGTTTTTTTTATATCTTATTATGTGCCATAGGGTTTGCTCTTTGCATATTTTAAGAGAGCATCTCAAAGAACTATAGTTTATGTACAGAGTTACACTGAATTCATTGTTTGTGTCATTAAAGAAGTAATTGTCCCTCTGAAAAGTTTCCAGATGGTTCCTCTGTTCCCTTGTGCCCTGCTTCATGACAATAACTTGGCATTTCTTAGGGAGGGGCCCTTCCTCAGCTTGCAAACCTTTGCACATGAGCAAAGGTGTGTTTCCCATCCATAATTCCTAGCATTCAGTACAGTGTCAGCATATACTGACTCAATTCTTTATTTCTGAATGAGTGAATGAAGAATATGTATCAGTGCAAGTGTGCATTTCTGAGCATGATAAAAAAATCTCAGATTGAGATCAAAGGGCCGTTGCAATTCTTGACCTGAAGACTTTGCTGAGTCCACCAGAAAAGAATTGTAGGACTTTCCAGATGAAACACAGGGCAGTGAGATGTGGTGTTTTTCTTAGCAAATGAACACAGTGGGGGGAAAGCAGTTCATATGGTCTGACTGGGGTCCAACAAATTTATAGAAATAACCACAAATGCTGTTAAATTCATAATGTGTGTTCTGGTAGATGTACACTTAGCACAAAGCCTCCTAAAGTGGATGAAATACATGGTAGTTCATCATTTGGAAAAGGGAAAACTGGAGGTAGAGAAATTTAGCTCAGAAGATGCTTATAAGATACAGGGTGAGAATGAATGTCAGGTTAGGAGTGAGGCCAGGCCCTGGGAAGAAGCCAGACTTGGGGAGAATGTGTCTCTGGGTACACAGCTGGGACCTAATGTGTTGGGCAGCAGGAAGACAAATGACTGGGGGTGTGGCTGCCACCACCTGCTCCTAACAGCATGGTGTGTGGTGTCAGAGGCCCACAACAGGAATTATAGAAGCAACCCTCCAACATTTCTAAGTTACAAAGGAATAATTTGAGGTTGGGGGAACTGGCAAATATGCCTGGCAAGTTTGAAGTTCTGACACCTCATGGCCCCACCCCCTCACCACTGGGTGTACCCCTGGTGGCCTTGGCAGTGCAAGGTCTAATGGCACTGCATCACCAGGCTGGCCCAAGTTTTGATCTCCCAGCCCTGTTAGCTAAGGATCGCCAGGGGTGGTTCCCATCTCCCTGAGGACTGCTTTAGAGACACTACCAAAAGGGATAATTTGTGAGTATAGTACCATAAATGACCATTTTTTTTTAGCATTCTACACTCTGCATCTGTTTATCTAATTTTTTTACAGTGCATTACCCTTCCCTTTCTTGCTGTTGTCACATGACCAGGAATTAGTTGCCCATACTTGGTTGTAGCACTCACACCCTTGGTAGCAGTGTCTTGGCTTTCATACATTTTGTGTCCTAGTGATCCCAAAAGGCAGTGAAGTTGAGACTGTGCTCAAAGCATGTGGGGCAATACTGTGGGTCAAACTGGCTATTTCGCACCTATGAGGCATTTGCTTTATCCCTCAGCCTGTCTCTGCTTTTAAAGATGCTGGTGCAGGAATATGGCCCAAGTGGTGGAACACATCCTTGGTCACATACCCTATCTCCACTCCAGTCAAAAGAACCAAAAGGTCTGGGCCCCATAAAAATAATAAATAAGTTCAGGGAAGTGGCTCGAAGGACTCGAGCATGTGTGGTCATGCAAGAGTCCTAGGTTTAACCCCCAGATTGCACAAGCACCCCCCCCCAGAGTAACCCCCAGCATCTCTCAGGCATTGACTCAGCATCACAGGATAGCCCCAGAAGCAAATGATAATAAAGAGAATTTTTTTACCATAACATTAAATTTATTCACTTTGAAATTTGAAATACACCCAAAGTTTAATTCATTTTTCATCACTCAAATATAATTTCTCATTGGATAAGCTTGATTTTCCCCTTATTTATATGTTTAATGTAAAAGTAAATAATACTCAATGATAGCCAATGTATTTTATCCAGCATCTAAATTTTAAAGTGCTACATAGTATTTCATCAGTGGGATCTACCAAATTGTTTTGCTTTTTTTTTGTTATTGATTTTTAGGTTTTTGTTTAGTTTGGGAATCACCGCCTGGCAGTTCTCAGGGCATACTTCTGGCTCTGTGCTCAGGGATCACTCTCATTGTGCCTGGGAGACCATATGAAGTGCTGAACTATGTGTCCAGTCCCTCTACCAAATTGTTTTGAATTTGTTATATACGTGTATATACTGTAGCACTGTAGCACTGCCCTCTCGTTGTTTATGGATTTGCTTCAGTTGTTTATGGATTTGCTTCAGCGTGCACCAGTAACATCATCTCCATTGTGAGGCTTGTTGTTACTGTTCTTGGCATATGGAATATGCCATGGGGAGCTTGCCAGGCTCTGCTGTGTGGGCGAGATACTCTCGGTAGCTTGCCGGGTTCTCCGAGAGGGACAGAGGAATCGAACCCGGGTTGGATGTGTGCAAGGCAAATGCTCTACCCGCTGTGCTATTGCTCCAGCCTATATTTAATTTAAAAATAAATAATATTCAGTGATAGCCAATGTATTTTATTTTATCCAATGTATTTTATCCAGCATCTAAATTTTAATGTGCTACATAGTCTTTCATCAGAGGGATCTACCAAATTGTTTGCTTTTTTTGTTATTTTTTTTAGGTTTTTGTTTTGTTTGGAGGCCACCACCTGGCAGTCCTCAGGACTTACTTCTGGTTCTGTGCTCCGGGATCACTCCTCGTGGTGCTTGGGAGACCATATGAAGTGCTGAATTATGTCTCAAGCCCCTCTACCAAATTGTTTTGAATTTGTTCTCAGTTACTAGATGTTTTGTTCTTTATTTTACTATTTTAAGGGGCCTCCAAGGTATGCTCAGTAGCCCAGGTGTCACTCCTGTGATATGGGTCCAACTGTGTGAGCTTGACTGTCTTGTACTTGGGCTGTTGATGCAATGCATTCCTGCCCAGTGGTGTCACTTGGGTTCAGGGATGCTGGGCATCACCAGGACTATACCCCCACCCAATGCTCAGGTCATGAAGTGCTAGAGATTGAACTTAGGTCCCCTTGCATTCAAGCATGTGCAGTATTCCTTTGGGCCATCTCCACAGACCATGGGGGACATTTTAAATAGTTTCCCATTTCTGATCAAATAAGCAATGATATGACACATTGTAGACATGAGTTTTTCTCTGCACTTCTAATTAATTCTTTCTATTAATGTGCAGAAATGTGAATACTTAGTCAAGGCTTTGTGATGGCTTTTATCTACTAACAGGTGAAAGCCTCATCATGATAGAGGAAGAGAGCAGTGATTCATTATAATTTGTGGGTTCCGGGATAATCTTCCACTTGAGAATATTTTTTGTTGAAGCCGGAAATGGCACCATTAGCAATGTCGTCCTTAGAGGGAGGCATTGCCTGCTCTAGGCAGGCGCTTTTCAAATGCAGGCCCTGGGAACACTTTTAGTCTCTAATGCATGTTGACCTGCCTTCTTTCATCAGGTCTCCTCCACTTGTTCTCTCTCAATTATTTTGTTCCATTTAAATTGGGAAGAAACTGGTGTCTAGGAACTTCTGAGTGAAGTAAGAAGATAAAGCTGATAAGTGAGAACCTAGAGAGGCAAAGGGAAAATTCATAAAAGACATGCAGTTATGGGGGGCTGGAGATATAGGACAAGAGTTGAGGCACTTGTCTTACATGCACCTATACCTGGATCCTGCCGTAGCACCACCTAAGGTGTTTGGTGTCTCCTAAGCACCTCCACGAGTGATCCC